GGTAGAAGCACATGGAATAGGTGGATCAGTATTAAAATGGATTAGGTCATGTTAACTGGTAGGAAACAAAGAGTCAGCATAAATGGATTAAAGTCAGACTGGGGTGCGGTCAGCGGAGTTCCCCAGGGATCTGTATTAGGCCCTCTGCTGTTTGTTATATTCATTAATGATCTTGATTTAGGCATAACTAGTAGGATTAGTAAATTTGCAGATGATACCAAATGGGAGAGTGATAAATTCAGACAGTGACTTTGAACACCTTCAAAGAGATCTAGATACCTTACATGAGTGGTCAGTAGACTGGCAAATGAATTTTAATACTGATAAATGCAAGGTACTACAGATAGGAAAGACGAATACAAACGTTAAGTATAAACTAGATAACACGGAAATAGAAAACTCAGTTTGTGAAAAAGATCTAGGTGTATTTGTTAGCAACGATTTGAAACCTAGAAAACAATGTATTAGCGTTTGCAACAAGGCAAACAGGATTCTTGGGTTCATATCTAGGTCTGTGAGTAACAGAACTGCTGACGTTATCTTGAAACTTTACCTAGCATTAGTGAGGCCACACATGGATTATCACCGGGTTCAGTTCTGTGAGCCATATTATAGAATGGACATAGGTTAACTGGAAATTACAAAAGAAGAATAATAAAACAGTCTCTAATAATTAGAAACATTTCCCATATGAAGAAGACTGAAAGCTTGGGCTTACATTCATTAGGGGAGGCGTGGGATTGGGGAGATATGATAGAGGTGGCACAAGTGGGTAAGTCGGTTAACAAGGGTAAAATGGAAGATGTTCGGAGCTCGAAGGCTAACGCAGAATACTAGAACAAATGGCTTTGATAAGATAAATTCGATTCAGGAGGATGTAGGCAAGCACTGGTTTGGTAATAGAGTTGTGGATATGTGAATGGGCTACCGAGTGCTATAGTAGGATCGGGGACGCTAGGGAGCTTCAAGACGAAGTTGGATAGGCACATGGAAGTGCTGGGATGGGTGTGAAAGGGATCTGCCCTGTATGGGCCAGTCGGCCTCCTGCAGTATCCCACTTTCTTATGTTCTTATGTTCTTATGTTTGTCGCTCAGTAGCCGACCCCGCGAATTCCCCAGTGTATGCCTCGTGGTCTAGGTCAACCAGCGCCGCCTTACATGACGGAGGTCAACTACTAAGCCACGCCTACCCCCGCTATTTAAGACCTGACCTCGTGGTGACCACTCTCTTTTCTACCTACACCAATCAGCCAGCAACACCTCCTCCTCCTCCGCCTGCCTGGCGGTCCTCCTCCCTCCGGAGAGCATGGCGACCCTCAAGCTGTCTGTCCTCCTCTGAGCACCCTCACCAACCAGCTCTCTCTACATCATGCTTGTAACCACGCTGCCACTTCCCAGCACCAAGCTGCATTGTACATCCAATACAACATGTATACAGAGAGCACATTGTGAGTTTCCTTTCTCCATCCCATCCTGAGTCTGAACCAAACAACCTGTTCCCCACACGGTCACCACACGGTCAGGTCTTAAATAGCGGGGGTAGGCGTGGCTTAATAGTTGACCTCCGTGATGTATGGCGGCGCTGGTTGACCTAGACCACGAGGTATACTCTGGGGAATTCGCGGGGTCGGCTACTGAGCGACAAACAGCGTTTGTAGGGGAGGAATCCACTACAAGCAGTGGCGTAGCTAGAGTGTGTGCCGCCCGGGGCGGCCCTTTAGCCAGTTATCCAGAAGACTGCCCTCACCACTCCGTTCGGTCTCTTCGAGTATGCCTACAAGAATTTTGGACTATGCAATGCAGCTCAGACCTTCCAGAGGTACATGGACCACATGCTTCGTGACCTCGACTTTGTCACTGTCTACATAGACAACATTCTCGTCGCATCTCCGACGCCTGCCGAGCATCATCACCACCTACAGCTCCTTCTCCAATGCCTGCAGAACAACAACATGAAAGTTCATCCCGCCAAGTGCGTCTTCATGGCCTCCTCCATCGACATCCTCAGTCACAGAGTCTCGTTGAGCGGCATCCAACCCCAACCACAGAAGGTAACTGCAATCAAGGAATTCCCCAAACCTGAAACAACGAAGAAGCTCCGAAAATTCCTGGGTTTAGTCAACTACTACAACCGCTTCATTGCCCAGGCTGCTAACATCCTCGCTCCTCTCCACGATCTTCTCAGGGGACTCCCCAAGACGTCTCCCAAGCCCCTCATGTGGACTCAAGAGGCCTTTACAGCATTCACCACCATCAAGCAGCACATCACACGCCTTACCCTGCCTCCAACGCCCGGATCACTCTCACAACAGACGCTTCTTCTACTGCCGTGGGCGCCATCTTACAACAGGGGATCAACGGAGCTTTCATGCCCATTGCCTTCTTCTCACAGCGGCTTCAACCACCTCAACTCAAGTACAGCGCCTTCGATCGAGAGTGCCTGGCCATATATCTTGCTATCAAGCATTTCCAGCACTTCCTCGAGGCCTGTCAGTTCACTCTCTTCACTGATTATAAGCCCCTCGTCCACGCCTTCGCTTCAGCCTCTCAGACACACACACTTCGTGTTCTTCGCCACTTGGCTTACATCTCGGAGTTCACCAGCGACATCCAACACATCAAGGGCAGCCACAACGAGATTGCCGACACCCTCTCACGTTGTATATCCAGGATTCTTCCCTCATCTCCACCCATGGATTACAGACAGCTCGCCATAGCTCAAGAGAATGATGAAGACCTTGCAGCATACAAGATATCTCCTTCAGGTCTCGCCCTCTAAGAACTTCCTGTTCCTGGCACTAACATCAATTTGTGGTGCGATAATTCCTGTGGACAGCCTAGACCGTTCGTGCCTCACATCCACCGCCACGCCTTCTTCAACCGCATCGAAGGTCTCAGTCACCCAGGTGTACGGGCCTCCCAGCTCCTTCTCACGCAACGTGTCGTCTGGCCCGGCATCAAGGCTGATACTCGGAAATGGGCTGCCCAGTGCCTGGCCTGCCAGTCTTCTAAGATACACTGACACACACAAGCTCCCTTAGAAACCTTTCCTGTACCCAAAGGGCACTTCTAGGTAGTGCACCTCGACATCATGGGACCTCTTCCAGCATCCTGCGGCAACACCTACATCTTCACCTGCATTGACTGTTTCACCAGGTGGACAGAAGCTATTCCCATGTCCAATGTTACAGCAGAGTCAGCTGTCCGCGCCTTCCTGTCTGGTTGGGTCTCCCGTTTCGGTCCTCCGATGAATGTCATCACTGACCGAGGAGCCCAGTTTGAGTCACAACTCTGGCATAGTCTCTGTAGGTTATGTATCTAAGCTACTGTGCCGAGTAGCATTTATATATGTAATCACATGGCAACACTGCACGTGTTATGTGGCAACATTGCCCCGAGGCTGCCATATGGCAAGGCAGTCTCAGTCTGACTCTGGGCCGTGCATGGCACACGCTAGTCACTACTTGTATTTCTCCTATCCGTTAATAAATGGACTTCAGTGTTACCCGGTGTTTCCCTACCCATCACTGCCTTCTTCAGGGAACACTTGGAACCTTCATGGCGCAGTGAGTAGGATCTGTGGACTTACAAGTGTTGTGAACAATGCCGAGACCGTTACGACTGCCGGCGATGTGTGCGTCGACTAGTGTGTTGTGTTGTGTTGCGTTGCGTTTCGCCGCGACGTGCAGTGTTGCGCCGTCACAGTGCGTTCTAGTGACGGTGGCAGTGTTAGTGTCAGTGTATTAGTGTGTCTAGAGCTGAGAGTTGAGCATTGGCCTCTTTTTTGTGGTACCCACGGAGCACGCAGGCATACACCCTTCTCGTGTGACATCCGGGGAGACACTGACGGTCTTGCCTCCGCGGGCCACCACGCTCTGCTCTCTGAGACACACACACACACACACACACACACACACGCACGCACGCACTCACAGACAGAACAATGGACTCTATGCATTATTTCTGCACTGTTTATGTCATATATATGTGGTTTGAGCTGATGAGGCGCCACTTTATATACTAAATAGCACAGTTCAAGCATACTAAGATGGGCGGTAAGAAGGGACAACGTCAAGATGGGAGACACGACTCCCCACCACCTTCTCCTCTACCTGGCACAGATGGAGCTTCTGCGCCCACCGCCCCTCATCCTTAACCTACAGCGACGGACATTGCCACAATTCCGAGGTAGATGGACGACAGCGATGAGAGACGCAGAGAAATGGAACTTCAGAGGGAGGAAATACGAAGAGAGGAGGAAAAGGCGCGTTTTGATGCACTATTGGTGACCCTGGCGCTAACCCGCCCTCCCTCACTCGCAGGTATCACGCACCAAGGTGCCAGTACCCTCCCTCCCCCACCACACCAGTGTCCTCCAGGTACTCTTGCTACTCCAACAGCTCCCAAGGCATCTGTTCAACCCCCACCCGCCCTCTCACCAGACGTCACATTTCAGCTTTTTCGTGAGTGGAGGCGGCGGTGGACAGATTACTCCACGATGGTGGACCTTGACAGCATGCCTCCAAACAAACAGCTCATCCAACTGCGGATGTGTTTGTCGCTGGAGACCCAGAGAGTTTTGGAGCACACGTTGCAAGTGCCTCCCGATTCTACCTCTTCAGTGACGGATGTGTTCGACCTTTTGCAGGAGCACATTAAGGGTCGGAATAACTAGGCTTTGCGTCGCCGCTCCTTCACCAGCTGCAAGCAGGCGGAGAATGAATCCTTTGACGACTTTTTTGTACGTTTGAAGGGTTTGTCAGAGGAGATCGACGTCTGCAAGGCGCACAGCCGGGAATGTGAGGAAGCCTGGATCAAGCACGGGATCTTGACAGGTGTCAGACAAGAAGAGTTGGTGCAGCGACTCATTCCCCTGGACGCCTCCTCCACACTCCAGGTGGTAGTGACTGAATGTCGGTCATACGAGGCCACCAAGTCCGCCACCTCTGCCTTACGGGCCCCACCTGCTGTGAGAGCTATCTCACAATACAAGAAAGGTAAGAAGGCGGCCAACAACGTGAAGGCTGCCGCACGTTCTTCCACGCCTCGGCCTAGTGCTTCCTGTGGCAGCTGTGGAAAGCGGCATGGCCCCAAGACATGCCCGGCCGCCGACGCACTGTGTCGTGGATGTGACCGGAAGGGCCACTGGTCTAACACAGACAGGTGCCCTGCACGAGGCCACAAGTGTCAGGCCTGCGGTCGTTATGGACACTACGGCAAGTGCTACCGCCAACCCAAGCCCAAAAGCCCGAGACGAGGAGCAAAGCAGCGCACTTCCCTCGGGGTGGTTCGCACGCAGCCCCCTTCAGATGGCCCACGCAGCCCCAAGCAGCAGCCGAGTCACATCAGGAGGGTGGAATCGACCACACGCCCCAGGGCTACCCCTTCCCTTACCATCCGCGTAGCCGTCACACATGGTGATGTGTCGGGTCACATCGAGGTGATACCGGACACTGGCGCTGATACTACGGTGATAGGCCTGAAGCACCTCCAGAAACTAGGCCTCACCAAACGCGACCTGGACCACCGCCGCAGCTGCTGTACTACAATGCAGACGGTTCCCAGACGCCGGATGTTGTGGGCTCCTATCAAGTGGAGACCACCTACGGCGACAGGTCGTGTCACGGATGGATGGACGTGCAGCCTACTCTCGCTACACCCTTGTTGTCGTGGGAGCACTGCAAGGAGTTAGGCGTGGTGCCCAGAGACTTTCCCGAGCAGATCCCAGCTGCTCGGTACACCGCCAGCAGGGTGCATGAATCAACGAGCGACGCGCCTGGCGCTGCCGCACAGAGCTGCCCAGAACCCGTGTCCACTCCCACCCACACAGGACGCTCCCCTGCCCAGATCCTGTATGGTCACCCTCTCCGCTCTTGCGTTCCTGCACACGCCAAGACCTTCGCGAAGGAGTGGCAGACCAGAGCCGAGAGCTGCGACCGCCGCGCCGCTTCACGTGCCCAGGACGCCAAGGCTCGGTATGTCGACCGTGCCCGCCCTCTTCAGCCGCTGGAGATTGATGCCCTTGTCCGCGTCCAGGACCCGATGACGACACGTTGGGACAAGGTGGGCATAGTAATGGGCGTCAGCCGGTCGCGGGACTACAAGGTCAGGATGCCGAGCGGCCGTGTCTGGTGGAGGAACCGCCGCTTCCTCCGGCCAGTCCCACCCCCTGCTGCTGGCCCCCTGACCGAGGACGAGTCCCCTACACCTCACTAGGATCCACCCCACAGTGCACCTCGACGCTCGGAGCGACTTAGGACTAAGAAGTCCGCTCAAGACAAAGACTATGAGCGTGAGGGGGGGAGGGAGATGTAGGTTATGTATCTAAGCTACTGTGCCGAGTAGCAACCCTGTACATAAGCTACTGTGCCGAGTAGCAACCTTGTAAATAAGCTACTGTGCCGAGTAGCATTTATATATGTAATCACGTGGCAACACTGCACGTGTTATGTGGCAACATTGCCCCGAGACTGCCATAAGCCATATGGCAAGGCAGTCTCAGTCTGACTCTGTGGGCCGTGCATGGCACATGCTAGTCACCACTTGTATTTCTCCTATCCGTTAATAAATGGACTTCAGTGTTACCCGGTGTTTCCCTACCCATCACTGCCTTCTTCTGGGAACACTTCGAACCTTCAGTCTCCTACAGTTCCTCGGCACTTCCAGGCACCGCACTACTGCTTACCACCCTCAATCCAACGGCATGGTAGAGCGGTTTCATCGGCAGCTGAAGGATGCTATCAAGGCACAGCATGACCCCTACAGCTGGACTGATGCTCTACCCTTAGTGCTCCTTGGCATCCACTCATCACACAAAGAGGACATGGACTGCAGTCCAGCAGATCTCACCCAAGGCGAGCCCCTTCGCTTACCCGGGGACTTCTCACTTACTCCTGACCTTGGCCATTTCACTTCTGCTGCTCGTCAAGACCTACTGCAAACACAACGACAAGTTTTCGGTTTATCGAGCATTATCTTGCCCTCCCCACTGGTGGTGTGAGTGACCCACACTCCAGCTGGAGAGCAGCTATAGCGCGATATTCCCGACGTGGTTTGAGCTCTTTTCCTTCTACTGCTATTTTTCCTTTTTTCGCTCTGGCCTAGGGACCTGCACCCTCAAAAAGTGTATTCGTCCTGCGGTCCCCCCTGTAACTGTTCACCTCCCTCCCAGGAGATTGTGAACACGAAAGGGGGTTGGAGCAAAAACCCATCCCAGCCGAGTCTTTCCAGGAAAACCGTGATCGTGCGGTTCCACCTGGAAAGAGGGTAGCAATCCTTATCCTTCCCCAATAGGCACACTTAGCTCACGTCTATAAGTGAGCAGTCACATACACTAGGAAGTAGGCTTCCCCAACGGGGCTCCGGGAGAGAAGCTCAGGAACCACTCTACGACCACCAGCCAGTGGGGAGTGCTGAAATTCCTCTGCTACTTACTCAACCGGAATAGGTAGGATTAAAAAAAAAAAACGGTTATGGAGCGCATACGCCCTCCTAACCGCGACCCCCTCCTGAACCGCCAACCTGACGACCCGAACCACGACAGGCTCCGCACAGAGAAAGCGGACCAGTTACGCGCCTTCAATGAAGCCCTGAAAAGCAGGAACACTGCCACCACCTCCAACAACTCCACCACCACTACTACCGCCACTGAGGACGACAACTGGACGAAGGTAGAAAATAAAAAACGCCGACGTGCTTTTTCGGGAAACGAATGCTGTCAAGCAGCCCAAAAGGCACCCATCACCACCACCAGCTCACCTCCAACGACACTGCCGAAATTCCGGATCACCAAAACGGACACAAAAACGACGTATGCCGCCATCACAGAGATAGAAAAGCAAAATCCACTGGCCAAGTTCTCAGTGCAGCCCAACCTAAAGGGGGAGATGATTATTCACCCCAAAGACAAGGACTCCGCCACCACGCTCGACACTTACCTGCAAAACACCACCACTGTTGCATCAACCAAGCTGGACCCCGCCCAGAAACTGAAGAAGTCGGTAGTCGTCCGGTACCCAAAGGAACTACCCCTCAAACCCCTGGAGAACCACCCGAAGATCCTAAAAGCCGAGAGATGCTCTCCCCCGTCCGACAAGACGGCCACCACAAAACAAGTGCTCATAAAGCACTACGGTCCACCCCCCAGCACCATAGACCTCAAAACCTGGGGGATCTACGAATTGAGGCCCTTCGTCCCGGAACCCCTGCGGTGCTTCAGATGCCAGAAATACGGGCAGCACCAGACGAGGTGCACGTACAAGGAAATCTGCGCAGTCTACGTGCAGAAGCACGGCACACACTCTTGCCTCACCAAATTGAAAAATGGAGACAAAATTGCCCCCAAGTGTGCAAACTGCGGGGGCAAACACCACGCTTGGAACCCTGGATGCTCCGAGAGGAAAAAGAGGGTCCAGGCAAACCGACCAGCAGCAAGACCGGCCCCCACCGCCTACACACCAGCCCCACCACGTACCTTCGTGTGGGGAACCCAAAGGCAAAAACAACAAAGCCAACCTCCTCAGCCAGTCAACACCCAAAGTGCAGCCCAGTTTCCTGGCCTCACTACGGCCACACCTCAGCCACCCAAGCAGCAGACAACGACAACCACGAAAAAGACAAAACAAGCACACACCAAGGCACCAGAAGGAATGATACACGTATCAGACCTAGCCAAGGTACTGATGTAACGGGCCGAGTTTTCTCTTTTCAATAATTTACCATCCAGCTACTATTTTCTGTTAGTATTCTATTTACTCATATACTTATTTGTTCTGTGTAGCATTCTTCCCAATGAGTACCCTGTTTTATATACTTATCCTTCTTCAATTCCTTATATATATATATATATATATATATATATATATATATATATATATATATATATATATATATATATATATATATATATATATATATATATATATATATATTCTTGTATATTCTTGTTTATGTTCTGATATGTTCTTTATCTCTATATACCTTATATTCTTATATATTCTTATATAAGTAACTCTTATGCTTCTCTACTTATGTTTTCCAAGTCAATGTTCTTTCTTTTCATTTCCTTTCATATACATTGTATTCTCAGTTTCAATGTTCTTACCTTCCTGAGTTATACTTTGTTTTATGTCTATTCTTATACATGGGTTAGTCTGGGGAACCATGTTATTCTTTGTACAATACTTTTTATACTTACAAAGGGTAGCTGCCACCACCCAGACTTTTCATTATATGCCATAACTCATGGAAAGTTGTTGGGTAGTGTGGTAGATGTCTAGGCACGTGAGTAAGTATTATTTTCTGGGAACCAATGTGTAGAAGGAGTAGAGTGGTGATACTCGTAGTTTACTAATTCAATATTTATTGACACAGTGAGTGGAGAAGATGCATCTTAGATTCACTCAGGCTAAACAGAACCACAATTAACTTACTAAGTCATCCACCACTTCAAGAACTTATTACCTCATCTAACACCTCCAAATACTCATTACTTTATTAGACACTTGGGATATCATTACCTTGACACATGGGATTCCGTAACTATTATTCACAAGCCATCACTGGACCCTCAGGTCTTACTTTAACAAGTAACCAATTACCTCGCCACTTCTTGATTAGAGCATTATACTCTCAGGTTATTCGTTCATGGGTACTACAGATGAATACATAACACACTGGGCAATTCCACAATTAGTAACATACAATAGTTCTTATCATTTCACAAAGAACCACCTGATACCTTGAACTCTCATTCAGGGGTTCAATACTTAACCCGGGATACTATATTTCTGCTAGTTATCCCTCCAAACATGGGCCGACACGGCTCCATGCAATAGATGAAGTACAATCTCCAGGTGGAGTCAGCGGGCACAGTTGTTTACAACGACCGCCAAGCTGAAGGCTCGCTCGCTAGGTGCACCCAGGGAGGTTGACTCGTAACACACTGGCAGAGTGGTGAGGGCGCTTCCCGGAGGAATCGTGTCCTGGGATTCTAAATGCGCCCCCTTAGAGACAGTCTTCAAGAACCATCTTGCCCATAGGTAGCTATCGACCCTCAGGAGAGTTGCTAACACACCCGCGTCTGGAGACGTGGAGGAGAAATCACAGAGGGAGTGAATATTTAACTTCACTATACAAAACATACGTCTGGCACCGGTTCAGACGATAGCTAGATCTCTACTTTACTTGACTCAATTGGCACTGAAGGTACTATGTTAAAACATGAACACTGATATTCACAAAAATGACTAAGTTAAACTGAGTTAATATGGCGGCGTGGAACACACGTGAACATACCTGGAGACGTGGAGGAGAAATCACAGAGGGAGTGAATTTTCCTCGTGCGCCTGCATATATACGGGCCTGAGGGCATATTCCTACTAGAAAGACTAATTTTACTAACAATAGACCCTCTATTCACAGTAGTCGTTGGACACCTAGCTGTGACCGTCAGTGTCAGATCAGGCAAATTTTCTACATCTATATTTATGATTTAATCAGAGGTTGAGTTTGTCAGTAAAGAGGTGAATTGAAGTTATATATGCGTTCGCAACTCTATTGGCCTGACCGCAAACCACATTCCCGGTCAAACGGCCGTTAAGTCTTGGAGAATTTTGAGTTTGACAGGAACTGTTCAGAAGATTAATGACTTTCTTAAATAGACAACTGGCATTAACTAAACTATGAACATCAGATTCTCTGATGTCGGGGCGACAAAACAATATAACTTCAGTAGCGATCAGAAACCCATGGATATCCCCATGGACGACCTAAAATACGCCACTCTAACTGGCAAACTCAACACTCGCTTACTTGACACGTCTTACTAACAATAAGGACAGTTGAAGCGTTCAACACCACTCACAATGGATCTTGAATGTTCCAACTGTAAACAGACATATCTAAGTTGACTCAAAACAAAGGTGTTCTCTCTCATTCAAATTCATTTTATAGAGAAGTTGGTTTCAGTAAGTCAGAGAAAATGGGATAACGGCGGACTGAGGCGTCTTGAAGTGATGAGAAAACGGACTCCTCAGATGGAGGACTCAAAATAAAAGCAGAGGTATATGTTTTGTGGGCTATTGAGCGTAATATGAATCATTTGATTTTGGCGTTAACTGACGTGGGTGACCGTGGTCGTTACACTGACAACCTTCGCGGAGGGCCTAGCCGGACTACTGGGCCACAAGATCCAGCCCACACAGCTCCAAATACTCATGGGGAGCGTCCTCGGGCAAGTCGCCACAGCTCCAGCCATCTCAGTGGAGGAAGCCACGCCGGTCCCCATGTCATGATCGTGATGACGGCTAACCTGAAAACCTTAAGGATTCATATTACGCTCAAACGCCTACAAAACCTTCCGAGTCCCCCAGTGGAAACGTCCCCCGTTTTCTCTGTTTCCCCGTCTTTGTTTGTAGGGAACTTTGAATATTATCCACGGATTTCGTAGCAGACGCTGTATGTTGGGCCCTGTTGCCATCCAACCCTTTGTAATCAATTTAATTTTGCTTTTGATAGCTGAGTCAGAGCATTGTTAGTGAGGATAATAGTAGGGAACGAAACTGAGTTCATAGTCTCAGTTTCAACGTCAGAGTGTACAGTAAATTAATTCATCGAAATAGAAGCAGGTGGACTCCCTGGCCTATTTTGAGTGGGTGCCGCGGGCATTTCTACCGTTAGTAAGTGCCCGTCCCTTCATCCATACAGGTATGCCATTCCACTGTGTTGTAATTCGCCCTTCTTTAAGTGATTTGACCCAATTAATAGTTGATTGTGCAAGTGTTACAGTAACGTAGTTGATATGCTCTGAGTGAAGTCATATTTACGTCTTTAACGTCCCCTGAAACGTGATGTC